GCCTCAGCTACGTCTGTCAGGGATTTTGAATAACATTTTACTAATGCACTGAATGATCACTGTTGCAAATCTCAAGTGTCTGGTCAAAGTTCCCAGCCACACTCTTTTTCGGTTCAGTCTGTTGGGGTTTAAAATGAAGTCCACTTCCAGCAGGCACTAATTCAAGGGGTTCCCCTTTGGCTGCAGTGCTCTTTGGGCTAGACGCGCAGGTTCTTTCTTCCATACGGTCAGCATCTTCCTGGGACCCTGATGCCATGCGAGATAAACCTTGGAACTTTATCAACTTCCTTCTGTAATTTGCCAACCACTGAGTACCCGTTTACAAAACCCTGTCATAGGAGAAAAATGTTAGAATAAAATAAATCAAAGAGAGCAAAGAGAACAAAAAGCAAGGAAGGAGATGCTGTCTAGACCAGGACTCTGTCACCCTGATAACGTTACCATTTTTTCTGGTGGAATGAATATTGTCTCTCTTCTCTGTTAGCATCTCCGTGTCCTACCAATGCACAGTGTGAAAATTTGGTGACATCATTAGGCGATCATTCCTCTGTCATATGACATATTATCTGCCCCATTAAGAACCATGAAATTATCTCTGAAATATTTGGTCTTGTGTAGGGATTAAGGTCAGCTAGGCAAGACCTCAAGGACTGCTCTCAGCCTTTGTATTCAGGAGGGAGTTTAATCACAGGAGCAGGAGTTTGGATGGAGGTAAGAAGCGGTGAGACCTGAAGACTTTCAGCCATTGCTACAGGAGGGAGTGTTTGGGTGAGCAAAGAGGATGGGGTCCCAGCTGCTGACCAGCTCAGGTAGGTCAGGTGTCCCTACTTTGTCTCCTTCTCAGCAGGGAGTAAGAGACAGCCCTCTGGGCAAACCCAGAACCTGAAGGAGGGGATGCTGTTTTTGAGCAACGCTTTTAAGCAAAGGGCTCCTCAGAAGATTGGCTTCCCGTTAGCTCTCTCCTACTGAAATGCCACTGCCGGTTGCAGCGTGGCTCAAACACAGGACGGCTTGTGTGGCAGGCAAAGCCCCAGCTGCTTGGGGCTTCCTTGTTTATGATGAACCCATCATAAACATGCTGCCTCCCTCCTTCCCCTGTAACATGCTAACAAAAAGCTTTCCAGTTTATCTGACATTGCCCCTGTGGCATGGGGAGTGCCATTTGACATGCAGGGAAACTGAGGCATAGAGAAACATGGCACCCAAGCTCAGACAGGGACAGCATGACTGAGTTACCTAAGCACAGGCATCTGGTGCCATTTGAGACCCCGCAAGGCAATCCGAGTCACCCACAGAGGCCTGGCACACACGACAGGCTCTACGAGACCTCCTGCTCTTCTGGTGCCATAGCTGGAGGCCAAGTCACGGGTGCTCGTGGTGCCTGTGCTTAGGATCCCACCTGGAGTCTGTCCAGATATCTCCCAAGTCCTCAGATAGTGCCTTGGCTCCTGGGCCAGCTTTCTTCATTTCCTGGGTATGCAGCACACACACGTATTCACTCCAGCGACTTTGGCCACATGAGAACTAGAGCCAGCTTCCCAAGCACCTTTGTGTAGCGTCGCTCTTATTCTGCTCAAGCCCTTCCTCCACCGCTGCTGAGGTCGAGAAGGGGCAGACTGACTCAAAAGTCAGAGGGATGCTTCCCAGGGACGGCCTCGGGCCCCTGAGGCTGCGTGGCACTGGCCGAACCGCTGCACACTGAGCAGGGTCTCCAGGTGGGCTTGACAGCAGAGCCCAAACTGCACCTGGGATGTGCTGCGTGGCCTTTTCATGTGTCCTTCCTCCAAGAGGGCAGCGGGCCGGGGAGGCGGGGGAGACTGGCACACCCCACGGGCAGGGGGGTTTCCTGAAGCGCTGATCCTAGCTCCTGGCAAGACCTTGCGTTGTCTGTGGGCAGGAAGGCAGACAGGGACATGACAAGCAATGCCAAAAGGGACAAGATCGGCATGTTTGAGCTATACAGTTCCTGGGGCAGCAGTTAAACGCGTCGGGTGCCCCTTGGGCTGTCATAGATTGGGATGGTCGCTGGGATAAGTGGGTCAATCTAGAACCCGGAGCATCTGAAATGAAGCATGCAGGTAACAGAATATAGGTCTGGACGTTATTTAGACCTCGCTTCCACTTACTTCTGCCCTGGGAATAAACCACAAAAGGAAGCGGGAAGTGGGATTGGAATGGCGTAACCGGGCACCCGCGAGAGCTGAGGGAGGGGAACCGCGCGTCCGCGCCGCGCTTGGCCGCTTCCCGAGGACACGGGGCGCCTGGGTCCGTCCTGTGGGTCCTGTCCTGTGGGTCCGTCCTGTGGGTCCGTCCTGTCACGTGGGTCCGTCCTGTGGGTCCTGTCCTGTGGGTCCGTCCTGTGGGTCCGTCCTGTCACGTGGGTCCGTCCTGTGGGTCCTGTCCTGTGGGTCCGTCCTGTGGGTCCGTCCTGTCACGTGGGTCCGTCCTGTGGGTCCTGTCCTGTGGGTCCGTCCTGTGGGTCCGTCCTGTCACGTGGGTCCGTCCTGTGGGTCCTGTCCTGTGGGTCCGTCCTGTGGGTCCGTCCTGTCACGTGGGTCCGTCCTGTGGGTCCTGTCCTGTGGGTCCGTCCTGTGGGTCCGTCCTGTCACGTGGGTCCGTCCTGTGGGTCCTGTCCTGTGGGTCCGTCCTGTGGGTCCGTCCTGTCACGTGGGTCCGTCCTGTGGGTCCTGTCCTGTGGGTCCGTCCTGTGGGTCCGTCCTGTCACGTGGGTCCGTCCTGTGGGTCCTGTCCTGTGGGTCCGTCCTGTGGGTCCGTCCTGTCACGTGGGTCCGTCCTGTGGGTCCTGTCCTGTGGGTCCGTCCTGTGGGTCCGTCCTGTCACGTGGGTCCGTCCTGTGGGTCCTGTCCTGTGGGTCCGTCCTGTGGGTCCGTCCTGTCACGTGGGTCCGTCCTGTGGGTCCTGTCCTGTGGGTCCGTCCTGTGGGTCCGTCCTGTCACGTGGGTCCGTACCGTGGGTCCTGTCCTGTGGGTCCGTCCTGTCACGTGGGTCCGTCCTGTCCTGTGGGTCCATCCCGTGGGTCCTGTCCTGTGGGTCTGTCCTGTGGATCTGTCCTGTCCTGTGGGTCCGTCCTGTCCTGTGGGTCCGTCCTGTGGGTCCTGCCCTGTGGGTCCGTCCTGTCACGTGGGTCCGTCCCGTGGGTCCTGTCCTGTGGGTCTGTCCTGTGGGTCCGTCCTGTGGGTCCGTCCTGTCCTGTGGGTCCCATCCTGCTCTGTGGGTTCTGTCCTGTCCTGTGAGTGCCGTCCTGCCCCGTGGGTCCCTGGCATTCAGTGAGGTGCCCAAAGCGCTGCCACTGAGCCTGCCCAGCAGTGTCCTACCTGAGCAGAGGTGGCCCCATAGCTTTCACAGGCACGTGGGGGGTCCCAGATAAAAGCCCTGAAGGGTCTAAAATGCTACATACGTACTGAGCCTCCTGCCCTAGAGCCAGAGCAGTGCTCAGGGCCTGAGACCGCGTGCCCGAGAGACAGATGAGGAGAAAGAGCGAGAGAAAGCCGATAAAGGCCCTAGGAGCAGGGAGCAGAAGGCTTCCTTCCGCTTGGGGCCTAAGTCCGAAGCTGCAAGCGCTGCCCCTTTGCCAGCTGGAACACATGCGTGCCTAGCTGAAAAGCAGCCCATGGACGAGGTGGGCGATGCTGTTAGCTCTTACAGCCAGTGCTCCAGGAGCTGTGTTGCTCAAATAGAAACCGGAGGTTCACACTAACCTTGGTGTGAGAAGGGCCTAAACCCAGCTCTCCCATCTCCTTAGACAAGCACTTAAACCATGCAGTTATTATGCCAAAGGAGGGCCCACCAGTGGGGAAGCTGGATGTGCTGTATCTTGCTCTTTGGACAAAATGCTTAAAATTCAGAACTGGAAATTCCCTCAAGGAGACTGGTCAGCCTCAGTGGTCAAAGCCCAACATGAGCTCTCTCTACCCTGCAGAGCTAACCTGATGTCCATCGTTTTCACCAGTACCGTCTTAGGTGCCTTAGGTGCCCTGTGTCTGGGCTTGCTCACAACTGTCTGAATCTGGACGGGGCGCTGTGGAATCTAGCACACATCTGAACGTCACAGTGGTGCCTTCTCCTGCTCCTTCCCCCCTACAGGGCCACCCAGTTGGAGCTCAGTGAGTGTACGTAGACAACCCCTAACCTAGTTACTTGTGGCTCAGAAATAACTCCAGAGCTGTGGCCTCACTGCTGGAGGTACCATTTTTTTCTTATTCTGCTTCAGCCCAGGTCTGTCCCTCCTGTCACTTGACCAAAACTGTCAGACCCTCGTCTGCTAGAGCCTGTGGCTCTAGCAGACTGTCCCCTCCACAGCACGTGCCAGCGTGGGACAGAGATGGCCCTGCTTCCCCAGGGTCACCCCTTTGTGCAGCCCTGCTGCTCCTGCTCTGTGTCGAGCTGTGCGTGGCGGGATGTTTCCTGTCCTCCTTACAGGTTGCTCTGTGGGTGCTCTCATGTGAGGACAGCTGGCAGCACATCCGCTCCTTGCCCGGGCCTTCCCTGGTGTCACCGTCCAGTCAGGTACAGAAAACTGCAGGAGAGCAAGGAACATTGCTGGGCCATGACATACCTTGGCCCCCCAAACGGTGCCCCTAGTTTGTTCTCCCGGGGGGCAATGCTCCTCCCTTGGTCCCTTGTGGGATCACAATGGCATCGGACCTGCTGGCCGCGTCCTTGGGCAGGGGCGCGGGGGCATGCTTAGCTCCCCACACCTTCCTTGCCGCCTCACCTCTGCCTAAAACAAGGAGGCAGACTATTTTCAGCACATTTCCCTGCTGCCGGCGTGTGCAGCGGTGCACCACGCTCTCTGTACTTGGCCCACACAAGCCTTGGGAAGACAGTGTCACCTTCAGCTCGTAGGAAAACAAATACAGACCAGGGAGCAATTCAAGATCGAGAAGAGCTTCAGCGCAAAATGAATCATCCTGTTTGCTACTAGCTGTGGCACAGCCGATTTCCGTCTTGTTAACTCCGATAAAAGCATAAACTCAGCCTTTTTATTAGTACTATTTATTGTGAATGTTGAAAAATCATGTAGCTTGAAACTAAGAGATGAACTGATTCGACAGGCAAGTCATATAATTAATTGGAAGACCCTTCCTCGACAATTATGTATACCAAAGCAGTTCAAGCGAGAAAATGCAACTTTGAAAATGAAGTGGAGAGTTTAGGCAATGCTGAAACGTACAAGAATATGTGTATTTAGATATTTTACACAAAGGAAATCTTGTTTACAGAAAAGAAACCTTGTTGGTTATCTGATACAATCAAGTGCTTGTGAAACATAGTCTCTTACGGAAATTATTCCATTCCTTCAAGGCTGAGAGACCCTTCAACTTGGAGCGCTTTCTTTCATATTCACAACTTGAAGCAGATACTCCATCATCTAATAAAAAGAGATGAATAGTATTTATAGACCAGTCCTGACAAAAGTCACTCACTAAGTTAATAAGCCTAATATATAACTGCTCTGTGAATTCACATAACAGACTCATTCCTAATAATCTTCCCATAGCAGACCCCATTTGTTTTGGTTAGCTTAATAACTGACTGCCAAAGTATGAGGAAAATCATTCTTCGAAGTAATTCTGCCTGCCATCGCATTTATATAATGTCTCATTAGTGTTAAAGAGTCAAGGCACAGAAACAATTTGAAGTTTATTTTCAATTTATTTTTACACTTAGGCCAACTTGCAAAAGCAAGATTTTTCCTTCTGATTTTTAACTACTTTAATAGTAACTTATTCAAGCAGGCAAGGTCTTAATTCGCTCGGTATTAACGGAAAACCAGATGAAAACAGCTCAGGCTCACCGCACTAAGTCCCAGAACCGCTATGCCCAGCTCTGACCTTTTTGACTATTTACATGTTACAGCACTTTCCCTTTTCCGGGTCAGTTTTTTAGAAGGAAAAATTTCCTTTTATTCTTGAGAGCTGTACAGCACACTGTGAGCTTCAGTGGTGAACATTGCCCTGGACGAACAAGCCAGACCCTGAATTTGGTTACCTGAAGCACACATCTGTATTTCCTTCTGTAGCCTCTAGCTTTGGGGGTAGTAACTTCTGATCTTTAATTTAGAACTTAAATCTTAAATTAAAATCCACTAAATTTGCCACAGTCCATGAAACAAAGCCCTCACGAGTTCACTTATTTCCGACACAGCCTGTCTTCACTCACGTTCAATAGATGGGCGCGTACACATCACATAGACAGAAACGGACTCCTCGTGCTTAGCATCTCTGCAAGGGCACGCTCAGCCCCTTGACCACGAAACGGTGCCCGCACAGTCATTCCTGCAGCAGAGTTCACCTTCTCCTGTTCCCGTGTCAACGCCTCAACCCAACAGGCGACTCCGCAGTCACTGCTCACCCACCGCAAATATGGTGTCGTGTTCCTTCTAGGACTAGTTTCTATTTCAGACTCAAATGCAACATGGCTGGGAATGAATTTAATGCCGAGTACAAACTTTATCATACCCACTGCATCATCATCAGTAACTCTACCCGCCCATCCTTGGCCGAGGCGGGTACCTACATTCGCCATTCCTGTACATGGACACCTTTGTCAGCTGTGATACAGCGGCACATTCAATGAAGGTGTCGCCTGGCCAAAGTTTGGGCAACAGGGAACCCATCACATCCAGAAACATCTGGGGGACCCAAATCCAGAGGTTACTTACACTCTTTTATCACTGGGTACTTGTATCACTGAATTTCATATGAGCCAGAATCCCATCTTCATAAATAAACAATGCCTCCCTTATTAAAAATAACAACTATCATGATTTAAATGTGTAGGAAACCATTAAAGCTCTCTAACTAAAGTAAAGCATACTCCTTTTGATCTGCACGTCTGCTGCATCTGGAAGGCAGATCTCACAAAGATGCATAGCTTGCTTTTGAAATGACTTTTTTACTTAACCGAAGCCAATGGAAAAACAATACATTGTATCTTAAGTAGCCTGCATATAATCATGTGTTTGCATCCACAAGTTACATACTCCTTTCACGATTTTCTTTTACTTCGGGCTAGAGACAAACTAGTTGTTGCATGCTGGAGATCACAGGTTCTGCTGCAAACGGGGGCTCTGCAGTTGTCATATATCTTAATTACATGAAAAACGTGATTTTTTTTTAACCATTCACTGGAGAATCCTGGAAATTTAAGGCAATAATCTCATTAATCCATGTGTATATTCAATCTCCAACTACAAAAATGTGGATGTTAATTTAGGATAAAAATATACACATGTGGACATGGCTCAACTTACTGAATGAACATTCAGCCTTAGGAAATACGATTTATTACCTGATACTTTTCGAAGTCAAAATATTTCTCCTTTTACATAGCATAATGGAATTTGTTCCTATAACTTGATTACAAAGCTGCACACCGCAGAACTAAAGATGAGATAAATAGTTTACCTTCAGATAGTATCAGTCACAGTTATTATGAGTGCCACTGTCATAAAGCCACAGCCAGAAAGAAACCTACGGACAGCGTGCCTCTCTGCGGCGCAAGAGACTTGAATCATGGCTTTAAGGGGTAAATTTTTATCCATGATCAAGTCAGTGACGAAGCGTTGGCTGGCCTCGCTGCGCCAGGATTTCAGGAGGGAGACCGGGGTGAAGTTGGCTCGGGAACAGTGACCACATCACGGCACAGCAGAATTACAGGAAAAAACCCAACAGCTCTTGGGGGTGTGGTGGGGGGGTATTAATCTTGCTACACCGTGTCAGGGCCCCCAGGTGTAGCTGTATCACCATTCCTGCACCTGGCACAATACACAGAAAGGAGTTTTCTAGTAAATGCTGCAAGTTGCATAGCAATTCATTTAGACCCTGACTATTTTCTGCAAAACCTCACTTCCGAGCGTATTCTACAGGATTTTCCAAAAGAAGAGGGGTAAATCTGTTCCAAAGTCTTGTTCTCCCGTGAATAACGAGTACGTTAACTTAAGGGAAGAAGCAGCGGGTCCCAGGCACATATAAAACTCACCAGTGGCCATAGCCTCGTTTTGCAAGACCAGAAATGACCACAGCAGCGGTCAGCATCACCAGCTGGGGAACCTGAGGCCTTCGGGGGAAGAAAGGCTTGCCTGAGACAAAGGCAGAGCTGGGACAGAAGAAACTCTCCCGCCCAGGGCTCTGTATCGCCTGCTCTGCGGGACCTGACAAGTCCAACAGCAGGATAACAGCGGCCGGATGGGCAACACTGGGAGATAGTTAACGTGATGTGGCCTTATGCACAATACCCGTTGCCTTCTTCCTGCCCTCCTACGCTCACCTCTTTTCCACACTAGCCTGGTTTTTCTGAGTTGATACAGAACTTGGTGTCGATGTGCTCACCTGAGCATGAAGTGCTAGAAAAGAAAGAAATATAACTAACCAAGCGATTTGCGGGGAATACAGACACCGAAATCCGCACAATGCTTGCGGAGTTTATGCCCAGTAGCAAAAGAATTTGTAAAAGACATAACCTATGACTGACAATTTCTACTCAAGAGCAAGGTCTAACTTTTACGGAACAACTTGTTCGTTAGACACCTCTCTGCTAATTTTCTGGACAATTCGTAAGTTAGAGGAAGCTGATATGTGACTGTAAAACAAAAGTTAAACACACAGAATCTTCTTATTGCAGACTTACATCCTTCCAGCTGCTACTGTCATCTGTCTCCCAGGTGTTCCTGCCGTGCCAGGGAAGCCCTGCTTTCAAGATGTGAGCGCTTTTATTTTCATTTCCTTCCAGGAGCCTGAGCAAATATTTGGACATCTCTTCCCACTGCAGATAGTCTTCCAGCTGCTTGATATTTTCAGGTAATGCTGAAAACGGGATCTTGTTTTCTTCTTCATAAACATACGGAAAATCTCCAATGCTCTTTTTCCCCATTAAATGTCCTGAAAGAACAGCGGCAGCAGCATGGAGTTAGACAGAAGAGGTGTGGGTTTGATTGCTCAGAGGTCAGCAGAGTTCTGCTAGGGGAAGGGCAGGGGTCAGATAACGGCAAAGTTGAAGCCCTGCTGGGACTGGAGAGTTTGTCACCGTGTTGCACACAACTAGTTTCCCCCGTCTCCTATGCTAAGTTGGCAGAGGAGATGCTGCTGAGAGAACCGGGCGCTTTGCCTGGCGTTAGGGAGGCCACCTGGGAAGATCTGCTGGGACAAGGAGCTGGCGGAGGAGGTGACAGTTTTAGACTTCCCCAGCCTGGACACGGGATGCGGGATCGCCGGCAGCAGTCTATGTCCCAGCGCCTTTCTAGGAGCTGGGCTGGCTGGCGCCTGACGCACCGCGCCTTCCTGGC